TTTATTTTAACCATTAATATACTTAAATCAGGCCTGGCCAACCCGCGGCTCATCACATTAAATTGTGTGGCCCGCTAAGCGATATTATATATCTATTAAAACTTTCGTTTTCCGTTTTGTGTATACCAAAACAATTAAATAAATGAAAATTTGCATGTGTCATTGTTATAATGCGCAAGTGTGAGTACGAACTCTTGGTATAACAATGAAATCTTATTCATTTTGTATTTGTTTTACTTTTTTAAAAGCATGTTTGCCTAAATTGTGGCCAATTGTAATGTTACGTGTGATCAAAGTGGCCTGCAAAACAATTTGGATTGGCCAGTCCTGACTTAAATAATAATTCTAAATCAGTTCAGCCTAGGACAAACTAGTTAAGCCTAAAGTATTTAGGCCAAACTAGATTGTCCTAGGGCTAAACTAGTATATCCTGATATGTGTAGGATAAACTAGTTTGGCCTAATATATATATGATATGGTGTAAATATATTATAGAATAAAAATCAATTTTGTAACTTATATTTAATATAAAAATTACATTAAAATTTTATATTTACTATGTCATTTACCTTTTCTTTGTGATCTTTTGAAGATATTGGATATACATTTGGATAAATGGATGTACAAGACAAAAACTGTCTAACAACTTCTTCTTGTTCAGTAAAAAGTATTAAAGGAATTTTATGACTATGAACAATATCAAAGAAAGTACCACAACCTCTTCTGAAATAATAATTTTAGTTCAAATTTTAGAAACACAAAATTTAACAATTTATAAAGTTAAAACATTTCTACCTGAACAAAGAATCTAAAGTTTTAGGTGATCCATCATCACATAATTTTCCATCTGACCTATTCAGAAAGCAATTTAATACTTTTTAGAAAGACAATTTTTAAAGAATTTAATTATTTCTTAATTAAATTATGTTACATTAACTATAGTATTTAAACAAATTTTTAATGCATACTTGAAATTTGATTATCATAAAACTCCAATTGCCAAATCAATTGAGATCTTGGGTTATGCAGATATCCAGATAATTGAATTTTGCTTAAAATAGTCATTTTTTTTTCTATACACATACACACACATAGAATTATATTTTCAGAAAAAATTATGTAATTCTATTTCACCAATAAGGATGACAATAAGATCTCAAATAATCATATTAATTTAGAAATTAATTGAATTAATAGTCTTATTATCAGCAAGGTCATTAAATTAATACATGTACTTTACATACATTTTAAACAATTTAAAAATATTTATTCTCTATCATATTTCATAAAACTATTCAGTACATGAGAAAAATATAAACTAATTTTGAAAATAAAATCTAATTTTTGTAATGATAACAGTTTATATTATTTAAAATTTCTATATTTTAATTCAAACAACATTAAACACATTACATACAACAAATAACTTTATCAAAACTTCATTTATTTAATTCATTAAAAAACTTTTTAAATACCCAAAGAAATGAAATTAAAAAAAATTACAGTATGTACTACTACAGTCAGTTTACATACAATCTTTAAAATGAAAATATTTAAAAAATTATATAAGTTTTAGATAACACTTTGTTAACATTGTATTTTACATGCTACAGTGATATTTTAATAAAATACATAATTGAAACAATAGAAATTTGGAAAAAAATATAAAATTTTTCCAAAATGTATGTCAAAAAATCCACGTATAGCATATGATTTTCCGTTAAACACTTCTATTGGGTTGTTTGGAAAGTAATTTTGTTTTTTTTTTCCATGGGAAAAAAACACAATATTTTTATAATAAATAAATATTTTATTGAATTATATATTGACCATTTTGGTCAAATACCTGTTGTCATCGTTTCTGGTAGTAGCATGATTTCACATTCATAAAAGTTTTGATCGTTGCTTACAAAAAACTGATCCAAGTGATTTTTGACATTGTCATTTCAAGTAAATGTCTTACAGTTAAAAAAAATTTGTATAGACCGGAACAAGTAATAATCTGAGTGTGCTCGATCTGGCGAATATGGTTGGTGTGATAGCACGTCCCATCTAAGTTATAACAGTTTCTGACGAGTTACCAAACTTGTGTGAAATTTGACATTATCGTGGTAAAACACTACACCTGTTTTGTTGATCAATTCTGGCCGCCTTTTCTGTTTGATGATATTACTCAATTTGTTTACTCGATGGCAGTACACTTTCGAATCAATTGTTAAATTGTCTGGTAAAAGCTCCAAAAAAAAATTTCCTTAAAATCCCACCAAAGAGAGCATCTCTCTTTAAGAACATGTGGAACCCATATATCAAGCTTTGAAACGAAACCAATTTGTTTCAAGTAATCATAAACAGTTCAATTTGACAAATTTAATCTCTTAGTGATTTCACGTGTTGTTATTCGGCAGTTTGCTTCAATCAGTACCTTTATTTTGTTTTCATTGGCTTCAACTGGCCATCCAGAACATGGTGCATCTTCAATATTGAAATTGCCAGAAAGAAATTTTGTAAACCAGTTTTGGCACTGTTGTTCTGTCAATACATCTTCTCCAAACACGTCACGCAATTTTTTTCTCGCTCAAACAGCATTCTTACCTTTACGGTAATAAAAGAGCAAAATATGCCGAAAATGCTGCTTTCGATCTTCCATATTTGATGGGACACAAAAAATAAACAATTGCACAAAATCAAACAAAATTTTTTACAAATAAGCCTTAAAATGCTAGCTGTCAAAATATATAATGATAATATGGTTTAGAATGAAAATGAAGGAAAAAATATGATTAATCCGTCTAGTGGTAAAAAAAAAAACGAAATTACTTTCCGAACAACCCAATAATTCATTTCATTTTTTTGTATTTGTTTTAAAGAATTGTATCGACTTTCCTATTACTTGTAATTGTGAACATGGTTTCATGAAAAAAATATTTCTATAAACATGAGAAATTTGATTATTAAGTTATGAAAGGAAAATAAATCTTATGGTGAAATTTCAAAAATTGCTAGAAAATGCCATTCAACAGTCCAAACCAATATAAGATAATTTCAGACAACCAGAAATTGTTCAACAAAGATTAATGTGGCTGCCCAGAATATTAAGTGATTGAGATACTTGAAAAGTTGTGTAATCGAAAAAATTCTGTTTCAAAATTAGCAAGAGATATTGCAACAATCCTAAGACTGTACAAAGAATTCTTCAATCTGCAGGATATAATGGTAGAGTTCCTTGAAGCCTTTAATTTCCATTACAAATCAGCAGACTCGACTTTGTCAAATCATACATCAACAAAGACTGATTTTTGGAAAATCATTTTGTTTGCTGATGAAATCAAGTATAATATTTTTGGATCTGATAATTGTGAAAAGATTTGGTGAAATAAAACTGAAGACTTATGTCTCCAGTTTTATTTCACCAAATCTAAAAGATTAGTTTCCACAGTAAAGCACGATAGAGGAAATGTAATGGTTTAGGAATAAATTGCAACAGCTGGAATAAGGAAATCGGTACTTATTGAAGGTGCAAATAGACTGTCTGTAATACTTGAAAATATTTCAGGCTAATTTGTAGACATATGTCAATAGCTTAAGATCTGGAAAATAATGGATCTTTCAGCAGAATAATAATCCTAAATACACAGCCAAGATCACTGAGGAATGGCTACTTCATAAAATACCAAAAAGCTCTAGTCACCTGCTCAGTCACCAGATTTAAATCTAATTGAACATATCTGGATAAACTCAAATAAATAGTTCAAAAGCACTACATCACAAATCAAAAACTGTTGAAATGACATTACTACAAGCACAACCAAAATTAAACCAGATACAACACAAAATCTTGTGTTATGAATGCCAAACAGATTGCAAACAGTCACTGATGCATTTAGACTCTAAATGCATCATTGACTGTGGATTCTCTAAATTTTAGAGAATCCACATTATTAATTTAATTTCAAAATTCATTAGACATGAACATTTCTAATTCTTTAAACATTGTATGTAGTTTTTTATGACATGTATTTTCATTAGAATTGTATTTCTTATAGCTTATCTAACTTGTTTTTTCATTTCTCACATAAAAATACATCCTTATGTACTTAATGTATTAGTGCAACACAAATATTATTTATAAACTTTAAAAAACAAAAAGTTTTTTAAAACTTACTTTTCTGAAAGATGCATGTAAACTTTTGTGACTTACTGTACGTATTAAAGAAATATTAACACATATGTAAGAATATATGTACAGAAAAAAATATTGATTTATATTAAAATAATACAGAATATGCATGCATTCACTTAAAAATCTTTTGAATTAAATTTATTAAAGAAAATAATAATAATTACCATTTATTCAATACAAGTCATTGATTTTTGTTAAAATTCTTTATTTCAAAATAAATACATTTTAATTATTGTTGGCAGCAACATTACTTTTTATAAATTTTGATGAGGGGAATGCTTCTGATTTAGAATAACCTGGCAAAATGCCAAGGACAGAGTAGAATTTTATAAATTATAACTTTTAAGCAACTACAGTTTAAATAATACTTGAGTATACATATTTTGAAAATAAGTCTAATTGAAAACTAAATTGTAAGAAATTTAAGTTACAATTTATAATCAACATTTCTATTTATAAAATCTGTATAAAATCTTGTTGTTTGTATTCCTTATGAGATCAATTATTATAAATCAGGGCTTCTTAAACTATGGGTCGCGACCCCATTTGGGGTCGCTTAGCAAAATCTTGGGGTCGCGAGATTTTAATGCAAAATATTGAAAATAATTTGTGAGAGTTTGAAAATGGCATGCTTTGTGTCTTAGGTTTCGTGAGTTGCGCTTTGTGTCAGTTCTGGTGCAGCGAGATAACGATTCAGCAACACTGATTGTAGTGTGAACTAGTGTAGTGTTGTCGCTTTTCAGTGTATTCAGCTGTCTCTGTTCCATTGTAACACAAGAGTGAACTGTGGTAGTACACNTATTACTTCATAAAATGTAATGGAGTAGATATAATGTTATTTATACATTATTAAAAAACAAAAATATTTTTAGTTTTTACAGTTTTTAAGCTTGGTTTTAAGCCATAAGCAGTAAATAAATATTTATTTTATTGCAAATTTTCTTACATCACAATCGTCGGAAAAACCATTGGAAGCAGCCTTAATACGTATACCTATAAAGAAAAATTAGTTCTGAATCTTTTTTTTTTTATATCAGTTAAATATATACACATATTAATTTTTAATTACCATTGATTTTATTTATCAATTCTGAATATGCTTCTGGAAGGAGAAGAAACTTGTCAAAATCTGCTATTAACTAGAGCAGGAGAAAAAAAAAACACAAAACTCTAATTTATTATATGAAATGATATATAAATTAAAATTAAAATTAACAACTGCTACCTGAAGCTTGGAAGATCCACCTTTAATAAAATGAAGCACTTTATCCTCTACACGATCAGGATTTTTTATATGGACTCTCCCATTTTGGAATTCTTCAAACTTTTAAATATAAAAACAAAATAAAACTGTTTTAATTTTATTACTTTATTTTTAAAACTTATGAACAAAATCACTTATTATTATTTACAAACATTTTTTGTTTATATCAACTCAATGACTAGGCCAATGACCAAGTTTAACTACAGAAGTAAGGAAAAAAATAGCAGCCAAGGCAAGATTTTTGCAAATGTTATAGAAAACTATTATTAGATGTTTTAAAATATATTTTTGGCACAAGCTTCATGTATTTTAGATGCATAACATCTGTGTTGTCCAAATAATTCATACTTTCCTTCAAATAATAATAATAATTAGTGGTATATAGGCTATGCATATATTGTTAAAATTTTTATTAAAATATTTTTTCTAGATATAATTATGAATGTAAAATAAATATAAAATTTTATCAAGTTTTATTAAAATATTCCGCAATCATTATTTTTGAAATGATTTTAATATTAATAGAAACAAATCATACCTGATTAAATTATATCTTAACAAGATTGTAATAAAAACAAGAATAACTTTAATGTAATAAATATTACTGTCAAATAATACTGTTCAATTTTGCTAAATAATTACTATAAAATTTTTAAAAATTCTTAATTTTTAGCTATAATAATATATTAAAGAAATATAACATGCTAAAAATAGAAACTTTTTACATTATTTAAGTTCTTATTTATATTTTTAATTATAATATATATATATCCATTCTGTTATATAAAATAAGCAATAAATTTGATAAATTTGTTTAGAATTTCTCTATTTAAGTATCATAATGTAATTTTAAAGATAAAATTATTTTGAATATGCTGAAGTGCCACACATTTTCATTAATATAGAGAAAAATCGATATTTAATTTTAATATAGCTAAGTACATTCAGAAGAATGAAGAATGAAAGATAAAAAAAAAATTATTGAAATTTTTTTTTCTTCCAACAATATCAAAAATAATGATTAATGGTTCCAAACTAAAACTATTTTTAGCCTGAAGTCAATAAATTCAAATACATATAAAAGCAATTGCCTTTTTGAATTTATCATCATTGAAAGATTTAAAGGAAACTAACTGCATGCTTGAACAATATATATTATTTAACAGCTGGTTAAAACATCATTTCCTGTTTTTCACATGTTTCAAGTGTTTTAAACTCTATATATAATTAAAATATTGCATTTTTTGCAATCAGTAAATTCTGTATATCAAATTTATAAATACTGTACAGTATTATATAATTTAATATATATCAATGTACTTCAAAAAGAATCTTAAATATAATAACTTATCAAAGTAAAATATTTTTTGAATTCGTTAACTAACCTTAAAGTGTGCGAACTATATATTTTCTAATGCAAATAAGGACTTTAAATATCTTTTTAAGAACCATTTATATTTGTGTATTATCCCTGTAAACATATTCTGTCCATTCAAAAATGCTCTGGAATGTCAGAGTTACTCCAGTAAAACAGGTCTCATTCAGGAATTTGTATTTGGAAAAGTTTTCAAGTTTTGTAAATTTCATATATCATTTCAATTAAACAATGGTGACCCATCAAATCAAGGTTCCACATTTTCTGAAGTGATCTGTGGAAGAGTACTCTAAAAGACAAAAACATAGTATAGTTTAGTACAGGCATGTGTTACTTGAAAAAGTATGTATCGTATATATTCATGTAAATGTCAGATTTTTTAAACCATTTTTTAAGGTCAAATTTATGGGTCTGACTATTACATGGATAGCACTTTTGAGGGATTGAAATTCAAGCTAGAATCCAAAGTACCAAATCAGTAGAAGAAGCCCTGATTTCTAAATGAGTAAAAACAAAAGCACATTGAATTACAGTAATATTATCAATCTGGCACTCCTATAGAAAACCGAGTCCCTAAGTTGGGACCCTTTTCAATAAAAACGCAAAATTTAAAAATTTTTTTATCCATATGAAAATAAAAGTGATTTCTTTACAAGATGCAGCTATTCTTTTTTTATTAACACAGAGTATTCTTCCAGCTAAAGAAGCAATATAGTAATTATTATGCCAAGGTAATCAAAGTATGACTTTAAAAGTAGATTTAAATTCTAATCAACTTCCATATTTCGGGTGTGATAGTAAAAGTTGCAGAAAAAAATCAGTCCATTTTCTGTAACAGGTTTTTTTAAAAATATGAAACTGGAATTACATGATTTTTACATTTAATTTTCACATTTGTTCTCAATGAAAAAAATTCTAGCGAATGTCGACCCGTCGTCCGTGAAATACTAAGGTCGACTTTTACACGGGGTCTATTAAGAATTCCAGATTTTTTCGTCAAAAATAGGGGGTCAAGCTTTTACACAAAATCGACTATTACTCGAGTATATACGATAGAAGCTATCAGAAAAATTTGTTCTAGTGACTTCTCACAACAATACAAATTTTAAAAAGTATTAAGGAAATTTTAATTATAAATGTAGATTACATTTCCTTTAATACAGTTGTAACTAAAACTAGAAGTGTTTTATTATAATTTATTATTTAAAAGCCAGTTCCTTCAATAAGTAGGTCTAACCTAAGAATAGTGTACATAATACACATTAATAAATCCGAAGTTAATTTATTTAATAATTTACCAAATGTCCCATATCCCAGATACCCTCAATCCATATTACCCGAGATAATTGGAACTCTATACGCACTTAGATTAAATTCTCAGTTAACATGCAGTTTGGTTAACAAGATTTCGACTAACGACGGACTCTACGAAACCAATTGTATTTGTTAAATAAAGAATCATTATATTTAACATTCGACTTATAAGAGAAGCAAATTAATCAAAATTTTCATTCTGATTCAAAATAAATTAATGAAAATTAGTTTTTGTTAGTATGTTATTTAAAACAAAATTTCACTCATTTCAAAATTTTAATACAATCTTTATACTAATATTCTAAAAACAGTTATTTTATAGTATGTTCATTACATAAATGACTATCAATTTTCTGTTTGTATGACTATTTTTCTCTTTTCTTATTGCTATATTATGATTTGTGAAGAGCCAAATGATCACGTCGAAAACATTTTTTATAAAAAGTTTTTTCCTCCTTACATATAAAAATAAATAAGCCAAATAATAATTTCTGGTACTTTTCCATTAACTGGGCACCGGTCATTTTTACTATTATTTTTAGCGAAATCGAATACGTTTAATACACATGTTTAAATTACAATGAATATGTTTATACATCATTGTTTATACACACATTTATACGGTTTATCTGTAAAAAATGTGAAATTAAACATAATTTTTTTTCTAAAACTGGATCGAAAATCAAACTGCACCCAGTTAACGGAAAAGTACCAAATTTCCTTAGCCACACTCCATGACTTTCGAAATTAATAATTTGCGAATGGTGGAATTACAATCCAAGAAATCGAGCATTATTCCCATTATTTATTCTCGTTATTTATAACTTACTATTAAAGAAATCGTAGTTTTTAATTAAAAAAAAAAAATTAAATTCCGAATAAACAGAAAATTTGCAATTTTAAAATAGATAATAAAAAAAATATTACAGGTAATTACAATTTATACTGTAACGACAACTACAAAGCATCACTAATATACCAGTATAATTTATAAACTTATCGAACCGTACCATTTGATATTTTTCGAACGAAATCGGTTTGCCGTCGCAGTGCCTACGAGGCAGAGAAAGTGAAAAAAAAAAATAAATGAGATCAACTCTTAAGAAAGTGAAATTTTTTCATTAACTTCAAAATATTGCCCTGTACATAAGATTTTTTTTTTTAAATCTTTGCTATAATTTACCTCCAACTTTAAAAACAATGCTGTACAGTCGACCCCCCTATAACACTGTTGATTTTTCTGTTTTATATGAATTCCATGTTGTATGAGTCATTTAGATTTTACAAATACGTGAGCCGTTCACAGTCAGGCACACGTATTTGTAAAATCTAAGTGACTCGTACAACATGGAATTCATATAAAATGGAAAAATCAACAGTGTTATAGGGGTCAACTGTACTTTAACTCACATAGTAATGTTATGAAATTAACCACACAGGAGGTCTTAACAGAGAACAATTGTGTGTGTATTTGAAAATGTTTACATATAAAGATGTAAACAAACACCTCCAAATTTACATTGTATTATTATTAAGTGAACGTGCTTTGTAGTTTTAAGCCATGTGCAGGAAATCTGTATTTATATATAGCGCGCTATCGTGTTTAAAATATCACTTACTGTGTCTATAATCCTGGTTATTTTCCTTTTCTTCTTCCACTTCATATAACATTGAGTGGTGATTAAAGAAACAGCTACCACCGCACCACACCCAACAGCTATTTTCATGCTAGTATAACCGATATTTGACCCTAAATGTTGTTTCAATTCGTAAAAACGCTGCATTTTAAACGGTTAATTATAACGAGGAACGGATACAGATGAGGCAATGTTCAGAAATACCCGATATCATCGACTACCGCGTTAACAACCTTCTCATGCCGACCGCGAAAACGTTTCCACATTTAGATAACAGATGGCGCCAAATAATGTAATGTATCTATGTTGCCAGATGCGATTTTTTTTTAATTTTTTTACTTTTATTTTCTAAAATGCAGACGAAAATTCCATAATATATCGCGAGAGAAATAATAAATAAATAAAATAGCATCTTGTATTAGGATCTATAAAATTGTCAAAATGTTCATTGTAATAATGACGGATACTATTTGATATTACTTCATTCTTCTCCAAAAATATTCAATAAAAATGGTCAAGCGGTAAGATTATTTAATCGTTGCACACGCCCGATGATTTGCCACAAACCAACGTGTAATTTTATACCAGTGCCAAAATTATGGATTTTTGTTTAAATGGACCCAGTTTTACCAGTAATCATTGGTACTGTATTGATAATTTTATGTAAATCTGAAGACTTAAAGATTGTTTTCATATAATTGCCACTATAAAGAATGTGGGGAAACTAGCAACAATGTTGCTTGTTTTCAATAAAATAATAATCTATTTCTATATTTGCAATCTTTCTACTCCGCGACAATCAAAAATCGGTTAATGTTACCTATGATTCCAAAATGGCGGCGCTTCGGTTAGGTTCGTTTCGTTTCCGTTAGATTAGCTACATTTTATTTATTTATTTATTTATTTTGTTCAAGAACTACTGTGAATCAATAACTATTGACGTTTGGCACTCGGCGTCCTGCCAAAGGCTCCCCTTCGGGAGGAGTCCGTCTGGACCACGAACAGTCGGAAGCATGGCCATTTTGGATCCATAGGTAACATTAACCATCAAATCTTCTGAGTTTTATAATTTCATAATCTATTATTTTTGGAATCTCATCAGATCATTTATCGATCTGTGTAGAACACTAGGATATACCAAGTAAATTAGATCAAAATATATTTTATTAAAATATTACTTTTCGGTTATTCCAAATGTATTTGAAAATAAAAACGTTTTCAATTATGCTGTATATTACAGAGAAAAAAATATTTACTGAAAATTTATAAATACTGTATTTACAATTCCACAGATGAATTCAAATTTTTATAATTTAAATTCCGTTCGAAAATATCGAACGATGATTAAATGAGTCGAACAAATTCGCTTAGAACAGTTAAAGATGAACTCTTTCAGACTTTTCGATCTAATTTGGTTTGTTATTTGTTACAAAGTACAAAATTTAGAATCGAAGTTACCCATGGCCATTAATATCACCTCCTTTGATTACGTGAAATTTGACAATTCGACAACAAGGCAATTATACTTTACAGCTTTCGGGAAAACTTTTAAATTTAAGTTGAAACACGAATCGTCTCGATTATTCTTGACTGCAAAAGTGTTTTTGTATGCGGACGATAACATCAAAAAGTTCTATTTGCAAAATTTCTTTTCAGACGGACAAATCATATTCAAGGGTCATCTCGAAGGAAGGAATGATACAAAAGTAATAGGATATTATTCACAAAGATTATTCATCGGAAGGGTAATTTTAAACAATACAGTTTACTATCTAGAGCCGGCCAATCGTTATTTTCCTCAAACAGATTCCAAACTTGGTATAATGTATGATCTTAGTCGTGTCAATGAACATATGGATAGCCAACCGTCTTGCGAACGGTTCACGAAAGAAAATGTAAAACATTTTAATAATTTCCATTTACCAGAGCATAACTACAATAATTTGCAAAGGAAAGCTTCTCATAGGTACGATTTTAAAAATCTATTATTTTAAACACTAAGATATAAAGACTGCATGACTTATATACAACAATTCGGCATACAACTACAGTTGTACAGCGAAAAGTAGCTTTAATGGTAGTTGTAAATGTCTTCTTTCATAAAATATTAGATATGGAAATGCAAATATCTTTAAAAAAATATGAGAATTAATAATTATTATTTTTTCTAGCTCTAGCAAAATATGTTCCTTAGACGTATTGGTTGACCACACCTACTATCGATACATGGAATCTAATATAAAAGCGGTGCTACTAGAAATTTTACACCTTATAAGCATTGCTAATTCGATATTCAAAGAATCAGACGTTGATGGAACTGGAAAATCGGAAGTTATAGAATTCTTAGTCGACAGAATAACGATATTCGAAAATAAAATTCAAATAGCGTATCCATATTCTGATGAGAGCAGTTACAGTCCAGTATTTGTAGAGAAGTTAAAAGAATATCAAAATCCTTACTGTCTGTTGATATATTTCACTCACAAGAATCTCAAAAGAAAAGATCTTTGCAGTAATCGTAAACTCGGAAGAATATGCTCTAATTCTGATTCAAAAAGTAAAATACACAACGTCATATTTATTACGAATTTCATCAAAGGAATGGAAATTCCACGACACAGAATGGCATTAACATTTTTACATTATCTCGGACACGCATTCGGAAGCCAAAACGATCCTGCAAATGATTCCGTATGTAGTCCAGCACGCTTCCGTAAAGATGATGGCAATTACATTATGGAACCGCACTATACAAGCAGATCAAAACTCGGTATTAACAATTGGAAGTTTTCAAACTGTAGTTTAAGATCAATGAATAAATTTATCAAAAACAAAGGTAAGTTTATATAAGAAATAATTTTTTTATCATATTATTTATTAAACAATAACTAATCTAAAAAAACAGATTCTTGTCTGAAAAAGGTATTTAATTCTTCATGTGAAAACGGCATCGTCGAAGAAGGTGAAAGTTGCGACTGTAATCCGTCCGAGAGAAAATGTGGGAAAACAGGTCTTTGCTGTTACAATAAACAGCACGCCATGCACTGTACACTTCGATTGGGAGCGTACTGCACATTTGGAACCGACGAATGCTGTAATTATGACTGTTTAATAACTAGTATGAAAGAGAATAGAACTTGCTTCAGCAACAAACCCTGTTGGAATGTTACCAGTTTTTGTCACGGATCTTCTCCTTTCTGTCCTGCAAAAATTCAATCCGATAATACATCGTGTTTAAATAACAAAGGAATTTGTATAAAAGGAAAGTGCGATACCGAGATTTGCAAAATAAAAAGTCTACGATCTTGTCAATGTTTTTCTCGTCACACCGAGTGTTATGTCTGTTGCAAAAATAAATCGAGTGATTGTCTACCAGCAACATCATTTGACATCTTCACTTCGACTATGGAAGCTTACGTCAAAAACGAGGGTACTCCGTGCGACAACGATTATGGATTGTGTATAAGGTAAATATATTTATACTTTGCAATTAAGAATCTGTAATAACTATTATTTTTGTTTTGTAGTAACGGAACTTGCATAAGAAAAAGTATTTATAAGGAACATACAGTAGCAGAGTATGTATATGTGTTACCTTTCGTTGGGATCATAGTGATTGCTATTGGATGTTTTGTATCACAGCGAGAGAAACGACCGAGTATTGTAGATATCGGCAGAAAACCACGAGGAAGAAATACACGAGAAACTTAAAAACCATACAAAAGTAATATTACTCAACTGTTTATATCATGTGCTATTATAACTTCAAATTATAGCGTTTAACCTTTTTAAAGTCGTGTAATGTAATATTTTTCGAACGTAACTTTGAATATGTTGATTTACTTTTGTATTGCTAATTAATTTTTGTTAATTCATTATATTCATTTACTGATTATTATAAATGTCTATTATTTTTATCACATTTGATAAATACTATACATCAAAATTGTTGTGAAATTATTGTATAATATTTTAATGTGATTAAATATTTTATATATGTAAATAACTCACATACTTGTCAAAGTTCGTTTCTCTCATAATCCGTAGTAATATGAAAAGAAATAGAAAATACGTGTAAATGTTTATACGAAGTGATGAATAAATGTGAAAATTCTTCCATTGAAATAAAGAAGCGATTTTCTTTATTTCAATGGAAGAATTTGGCGACAAAAACACTAGTGTTTTTGTCGCCAAGTGGTAAGGGATGGAGCCCGACATATCCGGACGGACCCCCCGATAAATACGTTATTAAGCTTTAAAGAGGGTGAAAGAAATTGTGCTTCCTCACACACACTAACATCCATACATACAGAAGAACCCCACGAATTTTTTTTTGCATTTTTCGACGTCTATGGACTCTGGAGCGCTAATCTCGACCATCCGCGACTAACCGCTTAGTCACGATTTGACAAAAAGAACTGCATTTTATCATTAAACTGATAGTCATTAGACGACTGTAGTCAATAAATAGAGCACGTCTTTTAATATCTCATATCCTATATATTAATTATTACATATAATATTTAACAGCCGAAACGGATTTATTTCTAGATTTTAACAACCGACACGAAAACGCTCCGTATCTATGTATTAATATTAAAATTATAATATAAGAATTTTTTCGATAATTTATACCGAATTTAAATGTATTATAATACAGGAAACCGAAATTCATTGGAAAAGTTAATCGTAAAAATCCCAATAGAAATATTAAATGATTAAAATATTGACGTAAGGGGGCGTCTAGAGGGTTAATGTTAGGTTGCCAAGGCAACTATAACTGATTTCTCATGGATGAAAGTATGTAATTCCTTAAATAAAATTTCATAAGATCACTTCTGAATGTTTCACATCGTTCGTTGTAAGTAATAACATTTCTCGAAAGGAAACGGCAAGAAAATGGCCGATTTCGAGTGGCCTTGGCAATATAATTTTCCTCCTTTTTTCACGTAAGATTATTACTTTCAAAGTTATCTCTTTAGTCTACGTCAAATACACTTTAAATCTATTTATTTATTATATTTCTTTTAAGTGCAATTTACATTTGGAGTTTTATTTATGCAGGTAACTCAGATATTTGGTAAAATAAGTTTTCAAAAAGATTTTCATGTTTATAATAAATGATTTATTAAATAACCATTACCTTAGTCTTTCAGTAATATCCAATGATGTATTTCTGTTCAGAATGAAACACCTTTTATGGTACGAGTGCAGCTTTGAATGAGGAGGTCGGAGCCGTAGACCCGTACTTGTAGGAGTAAAGAGTCAAAAGGAACTAATAGTCTAAATGTGATGGTTTGCCGTTCGTAGCGTCGGAAAATCTTGTTTGTTAAAAGCGTGATGGGCTTTTAACGGGACTTGATAAATACTATATATCAAAATTGTTGTGAATATATGATACGGAAATTATTATATAATATTTTATATACGTAAATAACTCGCAGACTTGTCAAAGTTTGTTTCTCTCATAATTCGTAGTAATCGTGATGGTGGGCGGTGCAACCAGAGTAACTCGACTCCGGTTGCACCACTCGTATTTTATGCGCTTTTAACCATCTCTGGTAAAGTTGAAAACTGTTTTTAGTACCGTTTTGAGAAATAGTTCCAGATTTTTTCACTTTTAAATTTTATCCCATTTTTGAGGGTCTTCAAAATTCCGGATTGACTGATTCCGGGAGAATATTTTGCAAAGAGTTCTGTGTACACCGTTGGTTCCTTATGTGTATTTTACTCCTGTAAAGCTCTAATAAGATGCAAAAGCCTTGTTCGGAGCTTCGTTTGTACCCGTTTAGTTAACTAATATTTTATGTTTCGGTTATTTTTGGTGGTTGTGTAATTTATTCATTATATTAGTTAAGGATAGACATAAAATGAAAATTTTTATTTTGTCTATTAATTTAAAATTTATTTAGTTATAAACAAAATAATGTTTGTATTATATAATCAAATAAAACTTCTTATATTTAAATATGGTTTAGAAATATTTTAAAAAATTATTTTCACTTTTATTTCACTTACTTCTTTGGTTCACTTGAAAATCTCTTAATTATTTTCTCAAATTTGTTATTCACGTTTCCTTGTTATTTTTTAGATTAAGTTTAGTTCGTGTTTCAGTCTTTTAATTAAACTTAAAGTTTCTTTAGACAAGTGAGCAAAAAAATCAGAAGCTTACGGATATCGAAGTCTATAAGCATCTAATTTGTGGAAGTTATAGCCAGTTTTCATTAGATTGATACAGAATATATTATAGCTGAAATATGTAGTTAGAAATTAGCATTCTATGTGTGTTGGTTTTTGATAATTATCAGATCAAAAAAAGTATGTTAGAGAGATGTCACTGTGTTTTTGTTAAAAATATCTAATGAAAAATGAATAAGCATACTAAAATCTTTATTTTTCTCTAATTTTTTCAAATGATGACACATAATCATCAAATTGTTGTCTATAATCATCTGCATGCCTTTTTTATACGATACTGGTGCAGCAATTTTAAGGCATTTTAGTGGCATGTGTAATTTGACCACAATTGTAATCATTTGCATACCTATCTTAGACAAAGCTGTATGCTGAGTTTTGCAGTAATCAGACAGTTTTATCTGGATGTATAACATTTTTTTGTCAATGAGTGTATACTGTTTAAGCAACATGAAAACCTCTGTCAGAAAATAAAAGATCAAAAAGATGATAAATAAAGAAGAAAGAAAATGAATGTTTTGATTGGATATACTTGTTTTCTGCAAACAGAAATTATTTTTAAATGATACAAAACATTGTTATTACAGATTAGTATATTGTTTGTAAGTGAAGAATTAAGAATCACAACTATGACATATAAAGGAGAAAAATATCTTAAATACAAAATGAAAAACTTTGAGCATTGCTAACACTGTAACAAACTAAAAATCAAGAAATTTTATACAAGTCAACAATGACAAGTTTTATACAAGTTAAATTTTTGTCTAGCTGAAAGTTCAAAAACTCCATTTCTGCTTTACACTCGTGTGTAGAGCATAACATCTTACGTATAAAGCAATTTAATTTTGCAAATTAGTTTCTGTTCATTTCCAGAGCAAAACAAAACGTTTCTCGTGAACTTGATATATGAGATTGGAAGAGCAATGCTAATAATCAATAGTATTGATATATTAACTTGATAGATGAAAGAAAATAATTCTTTACAGCAAAATGACTATAATCAATGAATAGGATAGAAAATGTTTGATGAGTTAAGTATTTTACTGCATAAGTAATGGTTCCATGTTTGTTGTTATCACTAATTGCTTTTAAAATTTGAAATGCTTGTGACTAAGATTTGGATTTTGCATTTTCCCAAATTTGCAATTTGTGATATTGCAAAATTCAAGAAAACTGTCATCAGATATTATTCACAATATATAAACAATCCCAACAGAAAATAAGTATAAGTGCAGACATCTTGCATTGACTTTATTTGATGATTTTACTAAATCATGACTCTGTCATGGTTTTGTACACTATTACATTATTTTTTACAACACAGTGAGTTTTAGTCTTATCCCAAAGAGCTCTCTGCTGTGAAAGCAAAGTTAGATTTCAGATTTGGATCATTCAAGCTATCAAGATTATTTTAAATGATTATCAAATAAGATTGCTTTGTATAAATTGAATTTATAACTCAATTTTACATGATTATATATATTGATTTTCATTTTTTATTATTTGAATTTTTTTTAGTCACAAAGTAATTATTCATCAAATTGAATTATGATTGATATTTTCTGATTGGAAAATTTGAAAAGTGACTAGTTAAATTGAATTAGAAATTATTATAATTTTCTTTCAAACTTAGCTTAACAATAACTCAAACGTATAATTATATTTAACTTATTTTTACTATCATATTCAGATTTTTTTTTACTCTTTTATTTTATGATAGATGCTTTTTTCACGTTGCTTAAACAGTACATGTTCATTGACAAAAAACATTATACATCCAGATAAAACTGTACTTTGAACAATAAATAATTTAAAAATGAAAACATTATGAGTTTATAATTACATATATAAAAAATTCTTGGTTAAATTATTGTGTTTAAATTATTATAACTTTTTATGTGATACAATATACCATACCATCCTTGATTTTAGATGCAGTTTTTTAAAATTCATTTTTAAATTCCAGTTGCCTGAAATAGTGATTTTGTCTTACAATCAATGGCATCTCATATTTCTGGTTCAAGACAACAATTGGCTATCAATGGCAGTATATTATATGGATTAATAATAGATGTAAAGTCTGTTATAATACTCCAACAATAAATAGAGGTATTCACAATAGGAAGTTTTTCTTGCTTTCTGAAGAACTACATTCTATGAAATCTATAAACCATACCTATTCCAATGGAACAATTTATAATCCTGATTTAATCTTTCTTGTCCATTTTATTGGTTATCATCATCTTTTCTGAGATATTTTTAAATCATAAGATGACTCTGGTTCCTCTGTCAGTAAATTTTGATGATCATAAATGTTGATCTGAAGAAGCTTTCTGTTAAGATGTCGGCTTTTGTCATAGTACCTGTACTAATGAAAAATAAAATCAGAAAAATGCTTTTGTGAGTTTTAAGAAAGCTACAAAAGTTGGTATAATGAGAAAAGCTATGAATTGTGAATATCACTGATGTGGTGCATCTGAATGTGGAACTAAAGCTACTAAACATTACCTGTTTTGTGGCATTTGTATTTTCTTTCAAAGGTTGCTACTTAACAAAATTTAGTAAAATCATTTTCCAACATAAAAAATCTTAAAATTTGACTTCAAAATCATGATGCATCTTAAAATTTAAGAAATATAGTAAATGCAATTAATAAAGTATGTGCATTTTTACAAGAATTCTAAATCATTAATTGTTATATATTCTTTAGAATACAACCAAATCGTGAAACTAGAACAAAACAACTTGAAGCTTGGAAAGAACTCATTGTTAGGTACTACAGAGTTCACAAGAAATATATTATGGATCTTACAGAAGCACAGTCTAGTCCATTATTTAACAATAAAGATATTGAACGTATCCTTTTTTAATTTATAATCATTTTAAAATAATTTTCTTTTAAATAATTAGATTCATAGATTTTTATGTTTATTAAACATTTAAAAAATATGATATTATATAAATATATTGGATAAAATAAGTTTTGTTCTCATTGTATATAATTTTAGATATTTGACCAAACTGGCAAACTTTGAATTTCAATCATTGTATAAGTTTGTGAAGTGTTTAAAATACTTCTTAAATTCATAATTTGATTTATACAAAGTATAAATAATTTATACTTACTGTAAATCAAAGGTGTATGAAAGCTATAATAAACATAAAAATTATTGCTTAAGATGATTGAAAACATTCATTTTTTGTAATAAATTTTGCTGATGAATATAAGTTTCGACTTTTGTAATTGAAGTCTTTTTTGTTTTATATTTATATATACACATTATGTTACAGCTAAAATGTAGCTAGGATTAACCTGTTAATGCTAATTTTATTTAAATTTTTGCTTAAAGCAAGTAACAATCTACTATACAGTAATACCCCGAACTTACGTGATAGGTGGGACCGAGCAATAACCACATAAGTCGGGGTATAATTTCGCAATTTGTGTAAAATCCAAGTCAGATGTATGTAAGCTAATAAATGTTCTCGTTAATCTTATCTCGTCTTTTGATTCGTTCACGGTTACAAGAAACCACCACTTAAAGTCTCTCAAATCTCCGTAGATATAACAAACACAGAAATAAATAATACAAAATAAGTTGTAGTTGTGTGTTGATTCCATGCGACACATCTGAACATGTAAGCTGAACAATAGTGTGGGGGAGTGAGTAATCAAGAGTGCGTAGCGGTCAAACAAAAGACGAATTGACGAGATTTGAAAATCACGTAACTCCGGGTTCGCATAAGTCGGGGTAGCGTAAGTTGAGGTATTACTGTATATGTTTCAAACTTTATTCATATAAAGTACTTTTTATTTGAGTCAGAAGTGGATAAAGCTGGCATTATCCAAAAACAGATGGATGAAGCACAATGAAGCAAGAACATATCTTAAAATTCAGGCTTTAACCCAATAATGTGGAGTTTATTTACCATTGCAATGATGAATAAACTCCACATTATCTAGCAATTTAAGGCAGATTTCGATCCAGTTGGCAATACGACAGCAAGTTTTTTTTATGTCTGAGATAAACCCTTCTTAAAAAGCTACTTATAATCTCCAGGACTACATTGTTTTCAATTGTATTTATTGATATACTGTAAATACAAAAATAGGTGTTTTAAAAGTCCTTTTGAACACATACAGGATCATGTAAAAAGAACTGCAACATTGCCTTTTATTTGAGGCTAAGTGCTGCAAAAAATGCAAAAACATTAAAAGCTTTCCTAGCTCTTTTATCTCATTTTTTAAATTGCATTTATTACTATGATGAATCCTTTATACAGTGGTACCTCAGGTTACGAACGCCCCGGCATACGAAATTTTCAGGATACGACATGAAATTCGAACATATTTTTGCTCCACGATACGAACAAAAACTCACCATACGACGTTACATTAGTTCGCATTTTTCATTTGTTTTTCTTACTACAGTTATTTTTTTAATGTATTACTTGGCTTTAATTTGAGTATGTTTTTCGCGTTGGAACGAATTATTTGGTTTTACATGTAATCGTATGGGAAAAGATGATCCACCTTACGACATTTTCATGATACGATCTCAGTTTCGGAACGGATTAATTTCGTATCCTGAGGTACCACTGTATTGCCATTTAAAATCTATGTATGTATTGATATTCTGTAAATCAAAGTACTTACTGCTACTTTAAAACTAAATCTTCAATTTTTAATTTTATAGTTATGATATTTTAGTGAAATAATTGGCAATATGTATTTTCATTTACCTCCTTTTTTTATGCAATTGAGAAATAATAAATTCTAGCTGATTTAAAAAGCAAAATTACTTCTTTATCCATCCAGTCTTCATTGGAAAGATTGCAAATTTTCTGGCTAAAGTGAAACCTTAAATTTTCTCTTTGCTTTATTCAAAATTGGCTGGTGAATTTTAAGTTTTGTTTTTGTTTCATTGCTTATCCATCTGTTTTTTGGATAATGTCAGCCTTATCTGCTTGTAACTTGAATAAAGCATGATTTATATGTATAAAGTTTAAAATTAATACAGTGTGTGATTGGTTAATGAACAAATCGGATAACAAATACTTTCGTGAAAGATTTTTATGATCGGATAATGAACACTTCACTGAACAAACATAAAAAGAAGCGACGGAAATAGCAAATACTGATTGATTTTCCTTTGTCTTCAGGTAACTTTTTGAAGCACAGGAGACGTCAACATTAATGCTCAACCCGATATATACTGATCAGATAGTATTCCTAGAACTTTGAAATACTCCCTTGTAATTCCAGCCTTTTATTTTTCTGACAAACAATTCTTATAGTATTTGCGAGACTGTTGAGCGGGCACTCGTTAAGTTTTGCATCAGTTTTTATTTTTGAAAGGTGAGAGTATAACAGCAAAGGTAAAGAGTGGTCAGAAGATGTCTGATGTTGCTGGGCAGTATGGCTTGAACAAATCTACAGTAGGGTGCAGTTCAATCTTATCTAAGAAAGATACAGTATAATTAAAAACACTCAAGCAGCTAAAGGAGTAACAAATATCACATCTGAGAAATAAAGAACATTGAACTCATAATAGAACCTGAAACGGATCTGACGACAGAAGAACTCCAAGAACTCTTCAATGAAGAACACCAAGAAACTCAGCGAGATGTTTTATTATGAAAAAGAGGATTAATGCCGATATCTGCTATTAATTAAGGATCTTTTGAAGAAGTGGGGGATGTCAGATCAACGGTCTTAGAATGGCATACAAACCAGGTTGAGGTTAATAGGCTTGAGGATCTCTACAATTACAATGCTAATAATTCTGAAAATCCTAAAGAAGAGAGAAAAGCAATTGACATTAGACAGATTATTTAACCCCCACAAACAAAAAAAACATGACTAATAAAAATGCAAGTCTGTGTATATATGTATTTTTATTATTACATATAAATAAATGTAGTAAGAAAGTATATATTTTTTATTTTTTGAGGTCTCCAGAATGAAGTAATCAAATTCCCATACAAACCTATGGTAAATTAATAATCGGTTAACGAAGAATTCGGATAGCGAACAAAGTCTTGGAACGGATTATGTTCGTTAACCAATCACCCACTGTATATTGTTATCATTGGGGTTGATCTGTATAAATATTGGGGAATGGACCAATGAGTAAGAAAAATTTTTAATTGTCGAGTTTTGAGTGGATATATAAAATGAGGTGTATTTGATGTTACAGTGCTCATTTTTACTTTTAAATTTTTAATATAGTATGAAATAAAAATACATTGGGAGGGAGACAGTTTACTAGTACAAAAATATATTGATCTGTTTCTTATAAATCAACAACTGTGATTGTTACTTGCTTTAATCAGAAGCCTGGATAAAGTTAGCATTAGCTAATCTTAGCTTTATTTGATTTATGGGCTTTAGCCATAACATATATTCCATTAGCTGTTATATATATTTCAGATTAAGATTAAGGGAATGATAAGATTAAAGATATGTTGCAATAAAATCCAATTAATTTACATTCATAAATTGATTAAAAATACTTTTTCAATTAGATTGTAAGATGAGTGAATTTATCTGTTGTTAAAACTTTTACAGAATGTTTCTGCATTCTTTGCTAAATCCAATCTTTCTTGTAAATATAATTGTAAACTTTCTGATAAAAAATAAAAATTTTTCATCAGAAAGTTTGATAAGTAGAATAAAAGTGAAAAATATTTGATTTTCTTTTCATTCTGTTTGTGCAAAGTTCTATTTATTCAAATTAAAACAAATATATATATATTTAATTTTGAAGCATTACATAAGCATAAGCATTATAGTCATGAAAATATTAATAAAAGATAACTTGGATTGTATTAAAATTTATTATATCTTTGCTTTAAAATTTCAATATACCTAAATTTTTTATTGATGAAATTTTAAGTTAGAAGAGGACTTTTTCTATATAAAAACAAAATTTTATCAGAATAAACATTAGCAACACAATTACTTGTATATTTTCCATGTAATCATGGGCAGATGGGAGTTGTTCAAGTAGTACAGGAAATATATGGACTGACAGCAGCATCTATAAACATGAGGGAAGGAAAGGAGATCAGATGACCATCATTTTTTCCTTTTTTCTTTCTTTTTTTTTGTACAAATGGTCAACTTATGAATTAAGTACTTAAAAATATTTAAAAGCATTATTTATTCATTTTTGAATAATAAAAATAATCACACATTTATAAGAGATATTATTAAAAAATAACAAATATTTATATCATGCTGAAAATTAAAATGTCCAGGTACTCTTAAGGAACACAGAACAAAACTAGTGAAATAAGGGTTTTCATATTTTCGTGTATATAGTGAATATAAAAAAAATATTTATTCACTCATTTATTAAAATGTTTTTTAAAATAGGGATGTGATTTGGCTAGAGCTGTAGTAATTCCTTCATTTTCTATCCTGCGCAAAATTTCCTTTTCACAGTTTATTATCATGAATGCATCCAGTTGAAATTCAGTCAGGGTTGACCTTAATCTATTCTTTATATACTTTCATTTTGTAAAGGTTTGTTTGCAGGCTACTTGAGAAATTGGTAAAGTTAAAAAATATTGATATGCAAGAGTGAGAGGGATAAGCTTCCTGGTATATTTTATTTGTACATTTTTATAACATGCATATGGTAATATGTATGTTAATAACAAATTCTAAAAGAGCAATATGAGATAAGCTCCCAACAAGTATTTCTGAATGTACCACTGCTGTACTGTAGGTACTTAATGTATGTAAGTTTGATTTATGTATTATGTTTTAATTGAAATTTTATAATAAAAATTCGGATCACTTTGTGATCTAAATTTTTGTTATATGTTTGAAAAT